GTACTATATAACACCCAGTGGCGGAGCTAGACCAACTCTGCACGACGGCCACATCAGAGTTTTAACTTTGAGAAACTTCTTTCTGTCGAAGCTATACTGACTGGAGCTGTGAACATGAATCTGGTTACTATAAAAACATTCGGAAATACTTCGAATATGGTTAATGTCATTATCAAACCAAATTGTTCAAAATATTTATTAAGTGCTTAGAATCCACAGTCGCTAACTTTTTGCGAGGCCCCTGTGGGCGCGAGGCCGTCGGCGGTCGCCGACATCGCTGACGCCTAGTGGCGCCACTGATAACACCTGATATACTTATTATAATTTAACATGAAATATAATATAATAATAATAATATATAATTATAAGAAAAAATACAAAATAATTTCCAATAAACTTAGTATGCCTTCAATAATTGTGTAACTATGTTAATGGAACAAGCGTAAAAAATTTAAAATATGAAAAAAATATTTGCAAAATTATTGTTATCCCTTGTTATCCTACTAAGTATCCTGTACAAATGTCTCAGGATTTTTGTCCTTTATTTTTCGTATTTTATTTTTTAATTATAAGAAAAAAGCACATTATTTGCAAAAGGCCAAGGAAGCGTGAAAAACTGCTGCAGAGAAAATCAAATAAAACAAAATTTTATAAGATTTGTGTAAGAAGATAACAAAACAACAAGGATAATCAGAAAAATAAACTGATTTTCTTTCTTATATTTAAAAATGATTTTCTTTCTGAACATTTTCGGCAAGGGAAAGATAAATGGTTAAAGAGAAAATATGGAAAGTGAAATGTTTTAATATTAAATTTGAGCATTTTAAAGTTAAGTTTTTTAAGTCATCCAACATGGAATCATGAGGTAAGGTCGAAACTTTAATTTCCATTCCCTATACACATAATGGATGAAAAAATGTCAAACAAAATTAACCGATGAAATACTTCTGCTACTCTTTGCGTTGCTTTGGGCCGCACGATGGATGAGGTTAACTTTTGTTAATTCAATTGAATAAATTTCGGAGAAAATCACGTAGAGTAAACTCACTGAATTCGATAATAAATACTGTTAAGTTATTCTAACAACCTTGTAAATATTATCTCCTTTAAATAAATCTGGGATTGTTATTAGTTTATTAGAGACAATCTCTTTGCTTTAAATATTTCAACCATATCCTCTTTTTCGAATATTTATAGGACCGACAAAATAAATATTTATTTATTTATTTATAAATAATGATAGTTTAGTTTATAAAACTAATACTAACATGTATCAATATAGTTCTGGATACTGAGGCCTTCAGCTATCCAAAATAAATAAGGGCGGTGTATTTATATACAAAATAATTGTGCCAAATGAGATAGTTTTGGTTCTTGTCTTATTTATAGTGACAATTAAAATATAACATAAAATAAAAAATGTATAAATTAATACACAAATAAATTAAATAATAAATAAATAAATAAATATTTAATTAATAAGAAATTAAACAAAAGTAATAATAAACAAATAAGTACATGAATATATAAATTAAAAATACATAAATAAATAAATATCTACACAAAAAAATAAATAAATTAGTTAATATATAAGAATGTAAATAAACGAACAAATTAATAAATAAAGCATATATATGTATAAAAAAATAAATATAAATAATTAATGAAAATGTAAATATACAAACAATTAAATTACGAATATTATATATAAAATAAATAACATATAAGAAGAAATAAATTAAATCAATAAGAATCATATAAACACAGAAATAAATAAATAAATAAGTTTATACGTAAATAAATAAATAAATATATATATATAAATAAATATATATATAAAAAAATTTATATATATATCAAACACATATTTGAAAGGATACGAGTGCAATCTCAAACTTCAAACCTTGATACTTGCAGTACAATTCCTAACTATTTGCGAATATATAAATAAATGAAATAATGCCAAGACTACTGATGAGGGGGTAACAGCTATATAGTCAGCCAAAAATTGAATTAATTAAAATAATATAAAAAAGAATTTTTGTTGTTGTAGTTCACAATTTTTCTCTATTAAATATAAAAGTTTGTATCAAGTAAAATAGTCATCACAGTTATAGGTAGCTGTGTTAAATTCAAATTGAATTTTTTATTTAATATATTATATATAAAATATATATCACTTATATATATTAATAAAAAACATTTCTTTATGCATCAAAATAAATCATAACTATAAACGATTACTTCTTTTAATTAAAACTATTTATTATAGTTAAAATATATAATACAATATATAAATCTTTTTTAAATATTTTTTGATTATGTCTATATCTATTAAAACTTTGTTGAACTTAAAATCTTTAATATAATTATTTACATATTTTAATTATATTAACATATATAATAAATATATATAAATATATATATATATATTTTTTTTTTAATAGAATAGTATTGAAATTTAACAATTAAAAAATAAGAATAAATTCAATTAATTCAATTATTCTACAGCTGGTTTATGATTTCGTTCTAATATAAACACAGCAAGTAAATTTGTTAATAAAAATTTCATAGCAAATTAACAAAACTCCAGAAAAATGTGCGAACATAAATGTCAAGTATTTTTACTGGATTTAGGTCAATTGGTTAAGGAGCACTGACTCTGAGCTTCACATTTGGCAGCGCCCGAGTTCGATTCCTTGGTATTTGGCAATACTCGAAACAGCTGTATGGTCAGCTAAAAATTTAATTAATAAATAATAAATTTTATTGTTGTTATTTATTACTCTTCAAAATACCTCTCCATTGAACGGAGAGGTGAGTTTTATGATTTTTATCAAAGCAATACTTCTTTACAATACTTTTAAAAAAAATCTTGGATAGATATATTAGGTATTTAATACAGATTTTTTCCGGCGGGTTTTGAAATCTGTCATATATGTTATGTAGTTTGCAGATAAAAATTACCTTTCAGCTTCAACACTTGAAGGTTAAACAAATATAATTTAGTTGTACACTTTTAGTATTATTTTATTTATTACTGAGTTAGATAGATTTCCCTGATTCAATTTTGATTACGGGGGTTTAAATATTATTTTATTTTCAGAAAACAAATTTCCAAAAAAATCGATTAATATTTCTAAGAATGATGCTATGGTGCAGACTTTGGTTTTTATTTATTTTTTTGGTTTTATTGGTTTTAGAATTCGATGATAAAACCAAATTAAAAATTTAGAATAAAAATATAATGTGGTTAATATGAATATAATAATTTACAATTTTTTTAAATCATACATGATATCATATCTTATGATATGACCATTTAAAAGTTTATCTAAATATAAAGTCACAAAACCCCATTAGTCCGTATGTCTCAGGAAAAAATAATAATAACACTCAACAGAAATATTGATAATATCATTTTGGTACTATAAATTAAAAATTATAAATACAAATTAAGTAAGGTAAATTAGGGAAAGGTAAATAATCAATATACCTGTAGCTGCAAATTTTATACATAGTAAGAGAATTATAATTTAATTATTTGGAAGGATTAAAAAATGTACACATATTAGTGAATCTATGAAAGATTATTACTTTATTACTCTCTACATATCCAGGATTTTGACGCGGGTTTCGAGGGTTCATCAAATCAATCATTTCTTACATGAGAAATATTACCTCGAATTTATTTGTTTTTAATTCATTTAATTTTATTTATTATAAGTGGTTGTATCAAAACAATTTAAATTAAAAGTCATAGATAACATATCTCAAAATGTTTCCCAAGGGCTTATGCTCTGGGCGTACTGGGGGCTCTACAGCTATATATTTTGCTCTTCAGCTATTGACTGAAGCCATTGCCTACAGTTTTCTGAATGGCTTTCAATATGCTGTTGTTATTAAGATCGCGTAACTTATAGATCCATTTCGTGGGTCTTCAATTGTAGTTGTAATGTAATCTTGTGGTCTTAAAATATTTTTGGAAATCACTTATCTTAGTTTATTTATCGATTAGTTATGTTAGTGGCAATTTCGCTCTTCATTATGCCAGAGCCGGCAGTCACGGCTTTTACCAACGGTAGAACATATACCCCGGACTATTATATATCTTCAGTATACCTTTCCATTAATTCATACTGTTGAGCATGATATGATAAATTTTATAGCTTCTTTTAGCTGTTATATTTCAAGCTGTTATAGCACAGAAGTTCTTTTACAAAACGTAGAAAATTGTGACTGTAAGTAAAGGGAAAATAGCTGGAATTTCCATGTGATCCACTATAACTTAGCAACCCATAAACTTGAATTGCTACTTAATAAACTTGATACTGAAAAAAGAAATCAATTTTTTTAAAGCTTAGATCAATAGAGGAATATATTTGAAAGATACTAATGCTTGACTACTATTCTACATTTCGTATAGTTTTCTGTAATTTAGATATATTATATACCAATTAAACACATTTTCTAATATAATTTGTTATATAATTTTGTGGTTAAGAATTTCCTAAAGATCTTACGTTTAATTGAGAAAACTAGCAAATAGCGATATTTGCTATTGAAATTTGAATTTCCCACATTTTTTTATTTCAACTAATTTTGAATTTTTTAAAATATTGTCTTAATAAGAAATTACCTCAAAATATACATATATCATGCCATATCATATCAAAGGTAAACAAAATTATTATTATTTAATTTTGTGTTTTTTAAAACCAAATAGAAGTCCACGTTTTCGGGACTGTTGCGGTAATAAGAATTGATCTTCGGATGTCATACAAAAGGAGTTCTGGCAGTGCATACCAATACGTACATTCTTTTGTATATTTCATCTTTTATTTCATCTTTATTTTGCTCTAAATTTTCTTTTCTTGCATTAGCACTACATCGCTACTTCTTGAATTGACTCGGACGAGTACAGAATCGGAATATATTTCAGTTATGAATTGCGTTGAATCATCAAATTTTCGCGAGCCCTTATCAAAATAAGTTACTAGTCAAGTTTCTGAAAGTTCTTCGTTAGATGAGTCAAATACTCTTCTCATTAGAGAGGAATTACTGCATTGTTGCTCAAAATCAAAGATATTTTCGGTACTTTCAGTAGAGGCAATTGAAGTGTTAAATGAACAGGCTCTTAAATGTGCCGAATTCATTCTGCGATTACGTTTGGATTTTTTCTTTCGAATCTTTCTTTGATGAGATAAATATTTTGAAACGTATAAGTCCCACTGTTTTTTTTTATTAAATACTTTCTTTCGAACATTTGTACCTCTTGTCGTTTTTCTTTTTTTCTTATTTTTTTCTTCATTCATATGCTTTCTCAGTGAATTCACACTATCTATTCCTGCTTCTGCATCCTCGAACACTAGCTCGGAGTTTAGTTTTTCTACAGATTGTTCAATTACCTTACTCAATAAAGAGGAATTAATGCTTTGTTGATCAAAATCAAAGATATTTTCGATATTTTCAGTAGAGTCAGCTGGAGTGTTAAATGAACAGGCTCTTTCATGTGCTGATTTCATTCTGCGATTACATGTGGATTTGTTCTTTTGATTTTTTCTTTGGTGAGAAGAATATTTTGAAACGTATAAGTCCCACTGTTTTTTTTTATTAAATACTTTCTTTCGAACATTTGTACCTCTTGTCGTTCTTCTTTTTTTCCTCTTTTTTTCTCCCTTCATATGCTTTCTCAGTGGACTCACACTATCTATTCCAGCTTCTACACCCTCGACCACTGGTTCGGAAAGCAATGTTTGTACAGATGGGTCAATGTCTTTACTCAATGGAGAGGAATTACTACTTTGTTGATCAAAATCAAAGATATTTTCGGCACTTTCTATAGTGTCAGCTGGAGTGTTAAATGAACAGGCTCTTACATGTGCTGATTTCATTCTGCGATTACATGTGGATTTGTGGATTTGATTTTTCCTTTGTTGAGAAGAATATTTCGAAATGCATAAATCCCCATGTTTTTTTTTATACAATTTTTTTTTTCTATTATATGTACCACTTGTTATTCTTCTTTTTTTCCTCTTTTTTTCTCCCTTCATACGCTTTTTCAGTGGAACCACACTATCTATTTCAACATCTAAACCCTCGAATGCTAGCTCAGAGTCTACTTTTTGCACAGATGGGTCAGTCACCTTACTGATTAGACAGGAATTACTGCTTTGTTGCTCAAAATCAAAGATATTTTCACTATTTTCAGTAGAATCAGTTACAGTGTTAAGTGTGTGGGCTCTTAAATGTGCTGATGTCATTCTATGATTACGTGTGGATTTTTTTTTTTTTCTATTTTTCTTCTGTTGAGAAGAATATTTTGAAACATATAAGTCCCACTGTTTGTTTTTATTAAGTCTTTTCTTTCCAATAGTTGTATCTCTTGTCGCTCTTCTTTTTGTCTTATTTTTTTCTTCCATCATACGCTTTCTCAGAATCGCACTATCTATTTCAACTTCTGAGTCCTCGAACACCAGCTCCGAGCTCAACATTTCGGTTTCTGTACTATTGTCATCCATACTAATACCTTATCAAATACAGTTTCAAACTTAAATTTTTCTTTTAGCTCCAAAATGTTACATTACCAATGGCTAAAAATAAAATTTTGAAAGGAAAAATATTTGATTTTAATACGTAATTTTTTTGACATAAAGCAATGCCTACTGCTGTTTCAATAATTTCTTATATTTTAATATTTTCTAATAAATTCTAGAATATATAATCAAAATATTCTTCTTAGCAAATGAAAAGTCGAAAGAAAAAATCCACACGTACTAATACAGCTATATTGTATCTGTTTAACCTTCGAGTGTTGAAGCTGAAAGGAAATTTTTATCTGCAGACTACATATATGACAGATTTCAAAACCCGCCGGAAAAAATCTGTATTAAATACCTAATATATCTATCTAAGATTTTTTTTAAAAGTATTGTAAAGAAGTATTGCTTTGATAAAAATCATAGAACTCACTTATTACTAACTTATTATTTATTAAAATGATTTCTAACGTCCGTTCTGACGAAAGAAACTAAATTTTTTGTGTTGTTTTCAGTAGAGAGGTTTTTTGAAGAGTGATAAATAACAACAATATAATTCATTATTTATTAATTAAATTTTTAGCTGACCATACAGCTGTTTCGAGTATTGCTAAATACCCATCATCAGTAGACTTGGAATTATTTCTTATATATATTTATTCGTAAATTAATTTTTTGAGACTGCAAGTAACAAGGATTGAGCTGATACGCTGCCACACTTGAAGCACAGAGTCAGTGTTCATTAGCCAACTGATCCAAAACTGTACTTGACTTAATGTTTGCACTTGAAATTTTGTTAATTTGCTGTGAAAGTTAACAAATTCACTTGCTGTGTTTATATTAAAACGAAATCATTAACTAGTTGTAAAATAATTTAATTAATTAATTATATTTTTATTTTTAATTGTTAAATTTCAATACTATTCTTTTGTTTCATATAATATAATATATGGGTCATTCTATTACAAACGGGACGGAAATTGATTTAATCATCACAGATTAAGCTGGAATTTTTTTTACGCTCCTTTAATAAAATAAATTGAATTTTTTCTTAGTAGATAAGTATGCATTGGGTTTTGAGAATTTTCATATCAGACTTATTTCTATATAGTCAAATACAGTCAAACTTCTATAACTCGGAGTACCATTTTCCAAAGAAAATATGTGATTTATGTGGACTTTGAATTGGAGGAAATTTGTTATTTTTTTCTGTATTTTGAAAGAAACTAGAATTTTATTATAAGTTGTTTATTTATTTATTTAAAATCAAATACAACTCAGAAGTTATAGTGAAGTGAAATATTCAGAAATTAGGGTTTAAGAATTTAATTTTTTTTCTAATTTTCAGTAAAAACTGATTCCATTTTATTCCAAGTGAAAATTTTGAATGAGTCTCTTACTTCATTTTTGGAAGACTGATGTAGAATTTTATTGGTTTGGAAAAAGGAAATTACCCTAACACCAAAATGGATTCATACTTTGACTTATAGAATGCACTTTCACATATTCCAATTGGCACGTGACAATATTTTTCTTTAAATTATAGAGAAATTCGAGTTATAGAAGTTCGAGGTATGAAGCCACATTTGCATGCAATTTTCTCTCTAAAATCCTGTTGCACTCTTTTTAGTTCGAGTTATAGAGACATTCGAGTTATAGAAGTTCGAGGTATGAAGGCACATTCGCATGCAATTTTCTCTCTAAAATCCTGTTGCACTCTTTTTAGTTCGAGTTATAGAGAAAGAAGTTCGAGTTATGGAAGTTTGACTGTACTTATTTTAGCAGAATCAAAGGTAATGAGTCCTATTTTTGTTCCTCAGAAATATAACCCTATTGTAACTTTTTAATTAATTGAAAAGTGTTGTGAAATTGCGATAATATAGATGAGTTGCTGTTTTATATTGCAAGAACATTTTTTTTTTTTTGGTATTTTATGTCTAAATAAATAAATTGTTAATTACCAAATCTAATGCTTGATTTGAAATTGTTGTATTTAATTATAAATTATATATGAATCTCGTTTTACAACAACCAAATTCTTCTTCATGTATTTTATAGCTTTAATGTTTGACTGAAAAATTTAAAATCTTTTCTGATAAAAATGATATATTGGCCTTAATGCAAAGTGTAAAACCCAGCGAAAAAAGTTTTCAAACTTTTATGAAATGCACCTGGCAAATAAAATAAAAACAAAAACAAAAACAAAAACAGAAAAATATGCAAAATAAATTTTAACTTCCGGTCAAAAAATTTCCAAAAAAAATTAGTAGTAAAATAAGAAAAAAAGGTAAGCTCAATGGTGTCATAAAGTGGTAGAACCGCAAAAGTTTCAGGGAAAATACTCACTTTTGCAAGCGAAAAAAGTAATGTCAAAAACTCTTGCTTGTCATATAAAGATGAGAAATAAAAAATTTTTAAACTAGAGTTTTAAAGAAAATTCATAAAATGTTATTTAAAGAAAAAGGAAAAAATAAACAATTTCGTTAAAATAATATAGAAAGATTTTTTTAAAACGTATTTAAAAAATATTAAACTTAAATGGAAGAAAAGAAATTGTTTCACCAAATAAAAATCCTTTACCAGATGATACTACAAAATAAGCGTTAGTGAAGCGTTTTCGATTGACTTGAATTCTAACTATTCTGAACTATTCTGGACTAAATATAGTTCACACAAAAAGAAAAGTTGATTTTGGTCTCTTGCAACTTTACAGAAAGTCTCTGGGATCTCTGTTTGCTTGAGAGTAAATTGCGACCTATGCTCTTAACAAGAACGACGAAAATATTATTAAAAGAAATTGGAGCATTTCATGATGGGGCTTCGATAAATTAATATGACTTGACATGGATTGTCTTCTCTTTATATTTTTTTCCACTTGTCAAAAGCTGAATTGAGCTTTACTGTTTGGAACCATGTTGTAGGTTGTGTAGATGTGTCATTCTATATAATGTGTAGTTAAGATTTTGTTTATTACCTCTTTTCTTATATACAAATGTTGAATATTATATGTTAATTCTTATTAAGAATAAAGGTATTTGTATCGATGCTTCTAGTCTGAGCATAGAGCGTAAATATGTTATTTATATTTCTTGGGAAAATAAGTATGTATATATATAGTCTGGTTTCTATATTCTTTGTTTAGAGGGTCAAAAATGTGATCAATAATGCACAAAAGAAAAGCAACATGTTGGAGTGATCAACTTAGCATATTATATAGTCGAGAAGATTATATAGTCGAGCTCTCAATCAAATGCAAGCCGATTCTTATCAGCTGGAGAGGTACTGGGCTATTAAAACTGAGAATTTCAGAAGCAATCTATTTGCTATAAATCAAACGATCGCTCTTAATAGTAATGTATGCAGAATTGGATTTGTTCTAGAGATTAATTTGTTTTGACGTCTGTCATATTTCATAATCTTCGCTGCACTATATACCTTCGTTGTTGATGACAGAGGCTACTATGTTAATTGCTGTGTTATCATTGATATCGGTTTCAAGTTTATTATATCTACAAAGAATTTCATCTCACCGGGAACTATGTACTGTAGTAACTATATTGCAACGTTTATACGATATATAAAAACTTAAATTAATAATAATAATTTATATTATACAATTTGGTGCTAATATTATTGTTAATAGACACTAAGTACTTGTAGTTAAAATTTTTTTATTCCCAAGAATGTGATAAATTTTTTCGCATTTGGCATAAAAAGTACAAAATGGCGCGACTGAAAATCTCAACAATCTCGCGTCATAAATAAAAGGAATACTTAAATGTTAAATGCCAAGAAAATAAAAGATGCAAATCCACGGGATAATTACAGAAACTGGAATAAAATACGAGAGGGTGGCATATCGTAGAGTAGACAGTACTGAATTTGTTTGGGACGAGCATTCGAGAGAAATTGCAAAGATGCTTAAAATTAAAAGGCGCGAAATTAATTATAGCGTCTTTTTATTATTTTAATTTTTAGTATTTTATTTTGTTGAAATTTCATTTGAATTTTGGCATTAGAATAGACACTGAAGAGATTTTCTGTAGAGCCTGGACAAGTGTCGTCGTAATATATATACGATGTGTAGTGCATAAAATTCCGCAGTTGCCAAAAATCACGAAAAGATGAAAAACAAAAGGTTCGTTGGGTGATAGAGCAGGCACAGAATATAGTAGCAACGGCATACTTGGCAAGGATGATTTTAGTTCACCAATGTAGGAGTGGAGCGGAGCTCGCTATGCCACACAGAATCGACACGGTTGCAATGTGATGAATAGAAACTTTCAAAAAGAAGACATCATACAGCATTTAAAGAAAAGTGGTTTAGTAATTGTAGGGAATTATGTGAGCAAATGTCCTGGCACAAAAGATGAAATCCTTTTTTATATCAGACATTTTCAAAGTAATTCGCATGACAGCATCCGGTAGAAATGCAATAAATTTGCCGTCACTGTTGTTGCTGCCATTGCTGCCACTGCTGCCACTGCTGCTACTGCTGCTATTGCTGCTATTGCTACTACGACAGCTACTGTTGGTATTCGTTGGTCTGATGACATGGCAAATTTTGACTATCGCAACATTTAATGTAAATGTAAGTGACAATGACAACGGAATTGCTTTTGCTGCAGTCACTGCCGTTGCTGTTGCTATTGTCGTTGCCATTGCCGTTGCCATCGCTGTTGCCGTTGGGACCAACTGCATTAGTGACGAATACGATGGCAGTATAAATCCCATCAATGCGCAGTGTTAAGTTCATGCTAACGTAGCCTTTGGTGTGAACTTTAATGATATGTTGATATGTTCAGAGTATAAAATTAATTGATTTCGTTGCTAACATTTAACTAAGTGAGCAATTGATTTCTGTGTTGGCAAAATAAATTCAAAGCACATACTTTAATTGGCAACAGGAAGCTTAAGCGAATTGCTGCTGCATAAAATAAAAAGGTGCGCTTAATTCCATCAATTGTTGTTACCGCTATTGA